TACCTTTTTTATTATGGTTCCTGATCTTGGATTTATACAAATTGACTATTAAATTTTTAATTTTCATCAATTTCACCCTTGATTTGAATTAATTAAGCTCTTAGAGTTCAACACCTTTTTAAAAAAGATTTCTAGCTATAAATTTTTTCAATTTAACCCCCTAATTGACTACAAAACTTTGATTTTCTTGTTATTTTACCCCTGATTTAAATCAATTGACTTTGTAAAAATTAAGTTTAGTCCTCTAAAATCTTAATATTCTTAATTAAGCTCAAATTGGATTCCCAAACTTAGTCTTTTACTAATAAAGTTATTCTTAATTAAGCTCAAATTGGGTTCCCAAACTTAGTCTTTTATCAATTAAGTCCTTGATAAAATTAAGTCCCTAATAAAATTAATTTGATCCTTTCAAAGTATAATTAAGTCTTTTCACTTAATTAAATCCTTTAATTTAATCCAAATTAACTCTTAAATATAATTAAACTTTTGTTTGATTCATGATTAAATCAAATTGACATGTTAAAAATCTAATCATATCCCTGAACTTAATTTTTATGCAGACTCGTCCAATAATCATTTAATTTAATCTTAAATCTAAATTATACTTGAAATTTGTCCAAAATTTCACCTTAATTTTTCTGCATATACTTAGGATCTTCTTCGGCCATGTTTTACCACATTACCGATTTTCATGTTATTTTAATATCTTCTTACAATATAGAAAAAAAGAAGAAGAAAATTTTGAGAAGTAACTAAGAAAAGAGTTGTGAAAAACAGTTCCAAGGTTAAGAGTAGCAGTTCTCATCTAGGTTTCCTTTCAATTTTTTATTAATCTGGGCTATCCTTTAACTTGTTTAGTCAATTAAGTATTAATTCTAACATGATTTAGTTTAAAAGGTCGGTAGGGGAAGGGTACAACCTAAAGGTCATCTGTATATTACAAATATCAAGAACCAAAATCGGTTTTAAACAATGTTAATAATTAATTTATTTCTTGACTTAGCCTTTTTTCTTCATTATAAATGTAACAATTATTTTCAGGATAAGTCGTTATAATGAGCACCGACAATTTGACAATAATGATACGATGTCTGCGTACAATATAAGAATGCGAAACATGTTTGTGAAATAATTTGTGTTTGATGTTTTAATTCATAAACTTATTTCATAATAATAATAAAAAAAGTAGAAGAGATCCATGAACAGGAAGGATGACATGCCCTTCCTATAATTATTGAGTAGCAGACAGGATAAGTATGGACAGAAAAAGAATACTGTACGGGCAGATAAGATGCTCTGACATTATACTTCAAAAATAATATTAGTGGTGGCAGCTAAAATGCATTGATGTTAACCTTTAGGAGATAGTTTTTGTAAAAAAAAATTTAAAAAAAATTATTATAATTAATATTATTTTATGGTATTTAGTTAATGTTTCTATTTATTAAATTTGTAATAAGGATTCTATTAAGATATTAATATATAATATGAATTTATTTACTTATATCAAGTACTGCACAGAACTTTAAAAAATTTATATTTATATTTGAAATCTAAAAAGAAAAATTATCTATCTATACTGATGCATCGATAATATTTATACTTATAAAAATATAATATAAAAATCATTCTCTAGAAACCATCCTTAAATTAACAATTATTGTCACTACAAAACAGTGTAGCCATCAATCTTTTATGCAACTCTATGATCTCCTCTCACTTCTCTGTGATCAAGGATCTATTAATATTTGCATGATTCAATTTAAGTGAAGAGCAGTAACTCATTAAAATCAATAGTATAGTTAGTTAAAGCTAAAATCAATATGGTTAATTAAGATATTAATATATATATTATAAATTTATTTACGATATTAAATTAAATATTGTGAAGAACTCATCAAAATCAACATGGTTACTAAAACTTAAATCAACACTATATGGTCAATTTTGTTATAAATTATTGTTATTATAATTTATTGAACTCATCAGAAAACGTGTTTGGCACCAATAATAATTATTTTTTATTATTTTTTAATTTTACATATACTTATCTTGTATATATACTAGTTTATTGTATTCATGGATTTATAGTTATTTATGTTTTAAATTAGTATTTGCTTTGGCTTTTTGCCCCACTGAATATCCTGCAAACCCAGTAGGGCATGTAAGACACCACGGGGGTGACAGACGTGCACGCTAGGGCTTGAACCCAGGTGCAGTGGAAGGAGACAAGTCCCTTTCACCGCTAGACCAAGCCCTAGTTTGCTTTTTGCCCCTTTAATAACTTGTTGTTCAAACCACATGGTTTTTATGATAAATGATAAAGATGAATATTTAAAGAAAACATTAAAACATTAAAAAAAAAAAACATAAGTGTTTTTCTCCAGCCTATGAGGGAATGCATTTTGGACTCATACAATTTTTTTTCTTATTTATTTAGCTACTTAAGTTTTTTTTTGTCAATGTGATCCTTCCATATTTAGTTTATTTAAAATTATACTTGATAATTTATTTTGGTTAACTTTGTAAAGGTTTCAAGCAATGAAAAAAAAGGTTCTCTTATTAAATTGATGCTTAATTTGGTAATATCAAATTTAATTCATGTTTTTGAGGTTTTAACATTTTGTTTCATAACTTTATTTTATTTATATTTCAGCCAAAGAAATAAAAGAGGGACTCATTGAAAAATAAAAGAGGAGAAAGAGAGTCATAAGGTTTCCACATTACAACAATCAAGAAAATCATTCTTAGTATCAATAAACTCTAATTCATAAGTGGAGTTCCCTTTAAATGCTTTTTTTTTTAATTTCTTATCATGTTTTGCATTATTTGTTTTTACCAATTTAAGGGTGTTTTTGGCTCATAAATTGATTCATTGATGTTAGACCCTTTTCTTAGGTGTTTTTAGGTTAAAAATATTTTATGGATTGAAAAAACCATTACTTCATTTTCTTGTCACTTCTTCAATAATCAAAATATGAAACACAATTGACGCATTGTTTGCATTTTTTTAAACAAAAAATGAGACGACAATACATCATTCACCCCTTAACATAAAAAGGAAGTCTAATATCAGATTCGAGTACTTGATTGCTCATATGATGGCCACTGGAGACTTATATAATTGTTAACGTCAGGGCCTATGAGATTAGTCATGGTGCGCGCAAGTTGGTCCGGACACCCATGTTAGGTGCGCGCAAGTTGGCCCGAACACCCATGTCAATCTAAAAACAAAAAGGAAGCCTAATGTGCATGCCTGACCACTTTCTTTGTGAGACAAGCATGCGGGTCAACCTAAACCCACATGGTTGGTTTATTTATTCTTTAATATTTTATATTTTTCTTTAAAGTTTGATATAAGTTTGTTAAAATTGATTAATTAACAATTTATTTGAGATTTTTTTTAATTGAATACAATTTAATTTTTACTTTTTTAACTTAATCATAGCTTTTTTATTATATTCACAGGTGCTTTTTTGTCCAATTGTTTGTAATTTTTTAAAAAACGTTTATCTGATCGTTTTCTTACATATACTTATTTTTATTATTATTTAGTTAAATAAAAAATATTTTCAAAAAATATTAGATCTAACTAGGTCATGTATTTAGTGAATTGTCTGAGTGAATCTACGATATTATCATCTTAATATTTAAAAAATAATATTAAAAGTTATTTTTTTATTTTTTTTAAGTCAAATCAGGTTTTATTAGGTAAAATAGACAAATCTTTAACTTATTTTGTGATCCAAGCCATATAAATATTAACTCCAACCTGATATATTTCGTTTAAAACATGGGTCGATAAATGGCCAGCCTAACAGGTCATTTGAATATTGCAAATACCAAGGAACCAAAATCGGTTTTAAACAATGCTACTTAATTTATTTTTAGGCTTAGATTTTTTATCCCATTATAAATTTGACAATTATTTACAGGATAAGTCGTTATCATGAGCACGTATAGTGTGGCCGTATATATGTGAATAATGATAAGAAGTCTAAGTACTGTGTAAGAATGCGAAACATGTTTGCGAAATAATTTGCGGTTGATGTTTAAATCCATAAAATTATTTCATAATGTAAAAAAAAAAAAGAGAGAGATAGTGACAACGACATTTGAGAATAATTGTTGAGCTTCCAGGTTCTAGCTCTATAAATGCAAGCTTCTTGGCATTGTTTTTCATATCCAAGAGCATAGAATCTCAAAAACATCAAATAACAATGAAGTCTACGTTGTTGGTGTGGTTCTCCTTTCTTCTCTTCGCCTTTGTTCTCTCAGTGCCGTCAATAGAAGCTTATACTGAGCCGGTGCTTGACATTCAGGGCGAAGAACTTAAAGCAGGCGCGGAATACATCATCAGTTCTGCTATCTGGGGGGCTGGAGGCGGGGATGTTTCGGCGACCAATAAAACTTGCCCGGACGATGTTATTCAATACTCGTTGGACCTGTTACGAGGTCTTCCAGTAACATTCTCACCTGCCAGCTCCGACGATGATGTCATCCGAGTTTCTACTGATCTTAACATCAAGTTTTCTATTGAGAAAGCCTGTGACCACTCATCAGTCTGGAAGATTCAGAAATCTTCCAACTCGGAGGTACAATGGTTTGTGACAACGGGTGGGGCAGAAGGAAATCCTGGTGTTGATACATTATTCAACTGGTTCAAGATTGAGAAGGCTGGCATATTAGGGTACAAGCTAGTTTTCTGTCCTAAAGACATTTGTCACTGCGGAGTTCTATGCAGGGATATTGGGATTTATTTTGAGAATAATAGAGGTAGAATTCTGTCTCTTAGTGATCAACTGTCACCTTTCGTGGTTGTGTTTAAGAAGGTTGGGCCTTTAAGTTCATCCATATGAACGCTGAAGCCTGAAAGTATAGTGGCGCTAAATAATGATGGAATAGGCTAGCTGCAATTGCCTCTAGTCATGTTTCTTGGCTTTTTCTTTCTTTCTAGGGGTCTCAATGGGTTCATTGTCTCTTACTCCAAGCAGAGCTACCTAGATCATGGCTATGCAGGTCTAGTGATGTACCTAGCTATATGTTTCAATGGATCCATGTATGATGTATCAAAATAATAAAATAATGAGACCCTTTTTTATATTTTGTTTATATAACGTTGTGATATGATTTAAACTTAAGGTGGCCTCGGAGAAATTAAAAATGGATTCAGTTTTGGAGAACAGTAAGGCATCTCCATTGATATATAAAGCTAGAAAATATAGCTCGAGACATCCTTTGACAAATTGGAGCACAATTACAAGCAGCAGAATACTTGCACCACATGGCTTGACATAAAACCGAAAGGGAACGAATTAGACCTCCTTCACGTGTAGTGAGCAAAATCTTTTAAGAATGGAGATACAAAACAAAGAGATCTTCATAGACAGAACATCCTATCAAAGAATAAGAATATAATTGTTTTATGGATTGATGTTGGAGTTTTTATCATTAGGTTAACAATATATTATAACTACACCATGATGATAGCTTATTAATAGATATATTTATAAAACAATAAAACTAATTTAAATCTAAAATAAAATTTGATTATTTTAGAAAACTTGTTTGAATGAAACATCTATATTTTTCGATTGTTAGAATATACCTATAAAAATAAAAAAAATCTTCAATAAAAAAATCTTAGATTATTTGATTTAGTTTTGTATATACATTTTAATTTTAATTAAAGCTTCAACTTCAAGTAAAGAATAATAACTCATTAAATTAAAACTCAAATCAACACATATATCTCAATTATTGCTTGGTAAGATAAAATATACTTGATGAATTTCAGTTTTTGCTGTTTGTTTTCCCATCGAATCCTACTTTTTTGTACACTTTTCATGTTTTTTACAAATATCATGTGTATTTTCTTTTTGTTGATGGATGCTATGCTAATTTATTTATTTTTTGAATTAGCTTCTTTTTTTTTCAATCATAAATTTGACAATTAATTACAGGACTGAGCAGTGCCAAAATTTAGGTATAAGTCGTCATCGTGAGCACGTATAGTTTGGCCATATGCGAATAATGATATGATGTCTGCGTTCTGTGTAAGAATGCGAAACATGTTTGCGAAATAATTTGTGGTTGATGTTTAAATTCATAAACTGAATAATTAATTTGTAATTGTTAATTTTACTTGAATTTTGTTATAAGTATTATTATATTAAAAAAAAACTATTTCAAATTAGAGAACTCACCGATAACAAATCCATTTGATATAGTAATTAATGATATTATTATTATTAAAGAATACTGAAAGAGGTCTTTTTGCTACTAGTGTTCATGTACTCGTAACATTGTAGATTAAAAAATAATTTAGTTATTAAATTTTTATTTTATATAATTTAACTCATATGATTATAAATTAGCATCCAATTGTATTTTATTTTTTAAAAAAAAAAACTAAATTAAATGATAAGAAACTAAAGTGAAAAAAACAGGTGGAATGGATAACGGATTTGAAATTTGTTTTAAATTTTTTTTTTCTATCTCCCATCTTTTTTATCTAATAGGAAAAAGGATCCCTCTAATTTTTAAAAATTCAAATTTGATCTTGAACTTTATTATTAATTTTTTATCTAATAGGAAAAAAGATCCCTTTAATTTTTAAAAATTCAAATTTGATCTTGAACTTTATTATTAATTTTTTTTTTTTGGAAGAAAAGAGAATGAGCTGTTGGATTCTAGCGTAGAGAAAATATTAATTACTAAAATTCTAAAATAAATTGTCTAATAGCAATAATGTAAAAACAAATAGTTATAGTGACACCGACATTTGAATTAAAAAAATTTGTCTATTAGGTACAAAACTAAAAAATGTGGGTTTTTTTTACTATGTAAAAGTGCATTGTTCATCCTTTTATACATTATTGTGGATGGATTGTGTAATTTTTTTTTAATTTGATCCTTAAACTCTTTTTCCAGCGAATTAGTCTTAACTAAAGATCAAATAATTTTGAATTTTTTATGAAAGAGTGGGACAGAAAGATAAGGGATCGAAATGACAAGGATACCAAACATGGGTGGCATGCTATAAGTTTTATAAAAGATACACTTACATCCTCAAACTTCAAAAAGAACGCAGACCATACAATTTCGATACCTCAATATTTTTCAAATTCAAATTTGGTACAAAAATTTATTTTTATTATTTTTAGTTCCTTGTTCAGAGAGAAGTCACCGAATTCCAACGGTAAAGAAAGAAAAATATCATTGATATCGATGTATACTATCAAAATAGATAATATTTATGTCAAATGGTTTTATTTGATGGGAAGAGTTCACATTAGGTGTTTTTCTTACCTTTAAAGTTCATGAAAAAACATCTAAACTCGGTTGATTTTTTATTTCTGGTTGATTTTGGTTTTTAAAATGGTATTTTTAGGCCATGGATAGGTTTATTACGATTCCTAAGATGTTTTATAAGTGTTTTTGATCGAAATGGATTGAAAAATAGATTTTAGGATCAAAACAATTTAAGCTCTGATTTTCCAGTCACCCTAATAGCTGGAATCTGGGCAAGATCAGACAACTCTTCTTTTGCCTCAAAATAGGTTTTTTAGTCAAAAAACTTAAGTCTTAATTTTTCACCCTAATGATGTGTTGTCTCTGCCTCATTAGATAACACATTATTTGATTTTTTACAATATATTGTCCACTCTAATTGTAACTAAGAAAAATAAGATCCAATCGCACAAAACTACTAAGATAGGCCTACACATTGCCCTTAACAAAATCGGCTAGATGGACTAGTTTGGTCTTTGTTTTTTTTTTAATTTTTTTAAATTAATGATTTTTTTTATGATTTTTTTTCTAAATTTTTTAATTTATATATATATTTGTACCTCTTCTCTCTTTTATTATGTTTGAAAAGCTTCTTTTAAATTATGATTTTTTTATTATATAATTAAATTCAAAGAGTTTTCTGATTCATCTGTAATTTTTTTATCTTTTATATGGATAAATTTTATTTTTGATAAAAATAAATTCATATAATATTTCTAATATGCGCAAGTGTTTTTTACTCCTTTTATTTTATTCAATTAATTTAATTTGTATCTTTATTTCTATTATTGTTTGATTAAATAAAAAATTATTTAATATACAAATTTAGAAAAAAAATTAGATAAATATCCCATCTTTCAAAATTAAATATTTTGATCTCTATCTATCTTTTAATTTTTCAAGTATTATTTTTAGATATCATTAATGAATTTTTATTTATTAATTCACATGCATAGTTCTTATTTGATTATAAGTATACATAAATTTTTTTATTTGAACTTAAATTTTTTAAACTATAAAAATATATTAAAAAAAAAATAGTTCTTATTTGATTATAAGTATACATAAATTTTTTTATTTGAACTTAAATTTCTTAAACTATAAAAATATATTAAAAAAAATATATGCATATATAATTTTTTTATAAAACATAAAAATAATTGACCTGCAACAAAGCAGGTTACATAACTAGCCAAATAAACAAGTTTCTCAACAACAAAATGCCAAAGAGATCAAAAAGACGTGCAGAATTTCCTTAATTATTAATTTATAATTGTGGAGCTTCCAAATTAAAACTAAAAAAACTTGGAAGGGATGCTAAAAACATCATTTCCCTGAACAAATTTACCATCTTTTACTCAGGATCAAATAAATTTATGTTTTTCCATTCACATCAAGTAATTGTTTGCAGACAATATACCGTTGAATTAAAAAATAAAAAAACCACATATATATATTCTCAAATCTCTGAGCTTTTCTATTAGAACCAAGTAAATACAAATCTTGAGTCTGAAGAACCAGCTCAAACAGTTTCCAAAAGAAAAACCAAGGCATCAGAAGGAATGAAAATTAAAAAAGAGGAGCAGTTTGGTCTCCAAGATTCACAGTGTGCATCGAATTAAACAAGGTTGCAGTTGCATTCAACGTAATTATACATAAAAAAACGAGGTAGAAATGAATAGCCTGTGGATAAAAATGGAAGCAGATATCACCCTGCTAACATAACATTCAACGATCAGTCGAGTCAAATACAAGTTTCGCTCTGCACCATCTGGTTGACGCTTCCCTGTGCCACTAAAAATCTGCTGTCTATATAATTAAGCAAGAAAGCAAATTATTGGGGGAGGATGGGACTGGCGAGAACTCAGGGTCGGAGTCCATGCATCAAATTACATTTCCCTTCTAGTGCCAGAACAACTTGTACTAAATCAAGATACCTTTAGATATTGACCTATGCTATGACCATCGCCTGAACTGTGTCCAAGTCTGACATTTTCTTGATCCTGCACGAGGCCAGAAAGGCATGAGGGAATGACAATAGGGCCAACTCATAAATACAAAAAAATTTACTTTAACAAAAATAGAAAAAACAATCTCATAAGCAATGTACATAACAAATATTGATCCACATCATCAAAGTTTACTTTCATCAACGGGCCTGTGTCTACAGCAAAATTAAACAGCTTGACAGGATTTGATGTTGTTTCAGAAGCTTTCTCCTTCACGCACATCAACGGGCCTGTGTCTACAGCAAAATAAAACAGCTTGACAGGATTTGATGTTGCTGAAGAAAAGAAGTTTCAGAAGCTTTCTCCTTCACAGAAAAGCTCTTGCTGTTTTAGATTTTTATTTTTATTTTTACATTTTTAGCATGTTTTCTCACCTACATGTGATGCG